TTTACATATTTACATTGCCACCACATGTGTATATATGTTCCTGGTTCTTGACACCCTCTCCAACAATTTATTGAGTTATTTTTATTCATATATGCTATTCTTACCGGTGTCAAGTACCACTTCCATATTAACTTGTAATAATTTTCTTTAACTCGTATCGATAAATTTTTAAAATGTCTTTGTCCCCATAATTGTTGCCACTCTATTTCGCTTATTTTTATCCCTAAATCTTCTTCCCAAATCTCTTTAAGGGTGCACTTTTTTGTTTTTTCATCTTTCATTTCAATTAATATCTTATAAATTTTGCTAATTATACCTCTCAAGTTTTCGTGTTCTTCTACAGTCCTTCCCTTCTGTATTATTTGTTCGAATTGACTGAGTTGGCTTTCACTTCTATTATTTTTTTTCCAATTTATTACCCATTGTTCTAATTGTATACAATGAAACCATGACAATTTTATTTCTTTAAACTCTTCCAACATCCTTTCCCTCTTCATTTCCACCTTCATCCAATCCCCTATCCTATCTAAATTTATTTCCCTTACCTTTTTATCCATTGCTTTTTTTAAATTTTTTGGGAACTTCTTTTCCATCACTATTGGGGTTATAATTGATCCCTCCTTTATTAACCTCCCCTTATATTTATTCCATACTTTAAGTATATTGCTCAGCATTGGGTTTCTAATTTCCCTCATTTCTTTTCTAGTAACTGTTTAAAAAATATATTCCAAGTTTCATCTTCCACTTTTCCTGAATCATTACTAAGCCAATCTATTCCCTCTTCTTTGACCATTCCTTCTATAACCAAACTTAATCTACTTGCTTCGTAATATTTTTTTATATTAGGTAACGCCAGTCCACCCTCCTTTTGCGATCTATACCATAATTGTTTATTTAGTCTGTTCCTTTTACTTCCATTACAGTACTTATTAATCATTTGTTGCCATCTAGTTAGTTCTTCTTCTGTAATTTGAAGTGGTAGCATCCTAAATATGAAATTTATATTTGGAAGTATTTTCATTTTTACTAATGCTATTCTTCCAAACCATGATAAGCGTATTCCTTCGTACTCTATTAACTTTTTCTGGACTTCTTTCCTTAATGTTACTACATTTACTTCCTCTATCTCTTTTAAATCCTTAGTTATTATTACTCCCAAGTATTTTAGTTTGTTCTTGATTCTTATTCCCCCTTTGCTCTGTTCTATAAGATCTTTTTCTTCTTCTCTTGTATAATTAAGTAGCATCATTTCTGACTTACTCCAATTAACTTGTAAGCCTGTTTTCTTCTCTCCTAATTTATTCTCTCCTTCCCTTCCTGTCCTTGATTCTCTTCTTCTCTCCTTCCCTTCTTCTACCTTATTCTCTCCTTTTACTTTATTCTCTCCTTCCCTTCCTCTGCTTAATTTGCACAACAACCTTGCAAGGGAGTTTCCCATTTGAACCTATTTCCTGGCCCTACCTTCCTTCCGTCCTTCCAAGGAAACCTCACACCTGTTTGTTACTAACCTGGTTTTATTTGGAAGGCGGAGGGCGAATTGGCTATATCGAGTGTTGCCAATTCAACTTACAGTCCGCCGTGTTTTGTTTCCGGACAGGGTTAAGCCTGAAGAAAGCTGAAGCTTTCACCCTCAGCCTGAAAGCGGAGCCGCGGTACCACTTGGCCCAAAATGTGGCCACCTGTGCGGATCCGCTGGAGCTGTGCCTGGAGCGGAGCGTGGTGCAAGACACCCTCCAGGTGTTCCAACACGCCATACCTGCCGAGGGCAAACCCGTCACCAACCAGAAGAACTCAGGTAAGGAGGAAGACGCACCTCCTTACACCTGTCTGGCTCTTCATAGCTTTTTAAACTGAATAGTTATTAGATTGTTATAAGTTTTTTGGGCTGAGTGGCCATGTTCCAGAAGCATTCTCTCCTGACGTTCCGCCTGCATCTATGGCAGGCATCCTCAGAGGTTGTGAGTACAGTTATTAAGGCTTTGGATTCCAGTCCTGGGAGGAAAAGCAGGATACTATTACTACTAGTAGTGGTAACAACACAAACCACCATAAAAATACATGAAAGCTACTTCCAGATTCCAGAAGATTTATTAAATTTGTGTCCTTTTTCATTTTGTGTCAGGAGCAACTTGAGAAACTGCAAGTTGCTCCTAATGTGAAAGAATTGGCCGTCTGCAAGGACGTTGCCCGGAAGTCACTTGTGGTGTGAGAGAATTGGCTGTCTGCAAGGACGTTGCCCTGGGGACCTTGCCTGGAAGTCGCTTCTGGTGTGAGAGTATTGGCCATTTGCAAGGACGTTGCCCTGGGGATGTTGCCCAGAAGTTCCTTCCGGTGTGAGAGAATTGGCCGTCTGCAAGGACGTTGCCCAGAAGTCGCTTCCGGTGTGAGAGAATTGGCCGTTTGCAAGGACGTTGCCCAGGGGACGTTGCCCGGAAGTCACTTCTGCTGTGAGAGAATTGGCCGTTTGCAAGGACGTTGCCCAGGGGATGTTGCCCAGAAGTTGCTTCCGGTGTGAGAGAATTGGCCGTTTGCAAGGACGTTGCCCAGGGGACGTTGCCCGGAAGTCGCTTCTGCTGTGAGAGAATTGGCCGTCTGCAAGGACGTTGCCCAGGGGGATATTTCTATCCCACCTTTCTCAAATCCGAGGGCAACTCGAGGCGGCTTACAAACTCCGGATGACCTCACCCACAGCACGCACACTGCCGCAATCTATCAAAACCCAAAGCCTTCCCTAGATAAAAAAGGGCCTGCCTGGTGGTAGAACAACAACAACAACAACAGGGAGGGAGCTGACTGGACTTCCCGGAAAGGGAAATTGCACAATTAGGGAGTGTGTTGACGCTAGTCCTCATTGCACAACACTTTGGAGACATCTTGGCTTGGACTATTTCCCCTCTTCTTCTGTTTTGATCGTTAGTTCTCTTTCTTCAGGCCGCTGCTGGATCTTCTCCTGCCTGAACGTGATGCGCCTTCCATTCATGAAGAAGCTCAACATCGAGGAGTTTGAGTTCAGCCAGGCCCATCTCTTCTTCTGGGATAAGGTTGGCGTGCAGAAACTTTCCTTCTCCCAGCAAAAATGTTGTAGGTTGTTTGGGCTGCCTGGCCATGTTCCAGGAGCATTCTCTCCTGACGTTTCTCCTGCATCTATGGCGGGCATCCTCAGAAGTTGTGAAGTCTTGTAAACAAGAGGAACGGATATAGAACCATAGTTACAAAATACACCCAAGGGACAGCCAGTCCAACCCCAATTATGCCACGTAGGAGTACACAACAACAATAGGAATGTCGTGAATTTTCCAGGCTGTTTGGCCATGTTCCAAAAGCATTCTCTCCTGACATTTTGCCTGCATCTATAGCAGGCATTCTCAAAGGTTGTGAGGTCTTGTAAACAAGAGGAACGGAGACAGAACCATAGTTACTAAAGACACCCAAGGGCCACCCAGTCCAACCCCAATAGTGCCACGTAGGAGTACACAACAACTACTGGATTGTTGTGAATTTTTCAGGTTGCCTGGCCATGTTTCAGAAGCATTTTCAGGGTGCCTGGCCATGTTTCAGAAGCATTCTCTCCTGACATTTCGCCTGCATCTATGCCAGGCATCCTCAGAGGTTGTGAGGTCTGTTGTTGTTGTTATGGGTGGTGCTGTGTGTCTGTGCCTTCAAGTTGGCTTATGGCAACCTCATGGATTTCAGTGATCAACAGGTGTGGTCTTCCCTTTTCCCCTAAAATAGATCAGATGGCACTTGGATTCCTTGGTGGTCTCCCATCCAATTCTTAATCAAGACTGGCTCTGCTTAGCTACTCTAGTCCTTCTAGGAAGGACATTTCAGAGCCTGGGAGCAGCTGCTGAGAAGGCTCTGTGAGCGGGAGGCTGAACTAATGTGCAATCCAATGATGATGTATGAATTATCATCAGGCATTTACATAATTTGGAATACAAATCACAGTTTTGTAGCTTTATTTCTGCGACTACGGATGGTGTGGAAAGAGGGCACGGGCGGCAAAGGGATTGTGGGGAGTCGTGGCTCTTCTCCCATAATGACGGAATTTGCTGATGGAGTGATACCTTTGGCAGAAGGAAGTAACTTCTCCGTACACCCTGTAATTACTCTTTCCAACTTGCAGCCACAAGATTTGTGGTGATAGTTGCAGAGAAAGGGTTAGCTCCAGGGGGTTGGAAGGCTGACAGCTGGAGGAACACTGAAACAGAGAAGTGTTGGGAGGAAGCCTGCCTCTTAATCAAGGCCTCGCCAAGACAATCTGACATCCCGCGCATACATCTCTCCAAACATTTCAATAATACCCCCCTATAGTAAAGGTAAACGTTTCCCCTGACATTAAGTCCAGTTGTGTCAAATTCTGGGAGCTAGTGGTCAAAATAATGCATCCACCTTTGTAACTCCTCAACAGATGGCAGTACTGGTGTACGACAAGTACTGGCTTGTTCAGTAGACTCTCCTCTACAGTTCCATTTTGGCAGGAAGCCATAGCATTGAACTGTTGTGTTGTTAAAAGTGCGAAATATGGAACCCAGCGCAGACGGCTGGTCAATGTAACTTAAGCAACTTGCAGTCATTGAATTCTTGACAGCAGAAGGTGTCACCTCAACATCTTTAAACTTACTCACCAATGACGCACAGTACTCACATCAACACAATCACCATAAACAGCTTGCATTCTCTGATGAATCTCCTTTGGGGTGACACCTTCTGCTGTCAAGAATTCAATGACTGCACGTTGCTTAAGTCGCATTGACCGACCGTCTGCGCAGGGTTCCATACTTCGCACTTTAACAACACAACCGTTCAATGCTAAGACTTGGAACTGTTGAGGAGAGTCTACTGAACAAGCCAGTACCTGTCACATACGTTGCTTAAGTCACATTTACCAGCCATCTGCGCAGGTTTCCATACTTTGCACTTTAACAACACAACTGTTCAATGCTATGGCTTCCCGCCAAAACTGAACTGTAAAGGAGATTCTACTGAACAAGCCAGTACCTGCCACATACATTGCTTAAGTCGCATTGACCGACCGTCTGCGCAGGACTCCATACTTCGCACTTTAATAACACAACCGTTCAATGCTAAGGCTTCCTGCCAAAATGGAACTGTAGAGGAGAGTCTACTGAACAAGCCAGTACCTGCTGCATACCAGTACTGCCATCTGTTGAGGAGTTACAAAGATGGAGGCATTACTTTTCACTTTAACAACACAACTGTTCAATGCTAAGGCTTCCTGCCAAAATGGAACTGTAGAGAAGAGTCTACTGAACAAGCCAGTACCTGCCGCATACCAGTACTGCCATCTGTTGAGGAGTTACGAAGGTGGAGGCATTACTTTTCATTCAACCCTGATATATATACGCCACACATATATATACACATATACACAGACTGGGCCACAGCAACGCATGTCAGGGGACAGCTAATAATAAAATAAAATCACAATAACTAAACACTGACCTGTAACTATAAATTAAAATCATTAAACAAGTACTGGGGATAAAGCTTCAGTGGAGACCCCTTTTCCCCATGATGATAATCCCGGATGAGCCTCCAAGAACACGATAGACATGTTGTATTGACAGTTTTGTCAGTTGCGGAGCACTTGTGAATCTTCCTTGACTAAAGTGAAATCCAGATTTCTCTCATTTGATGTCTCACCCCTGTTCTTAACTAGGGGTTGTTTGTAAGTCGGATGCTGGTAACTGTATATAGAGGAATCACCGCAGTGTTGTGCTTTGCCAACTTTTAATCCCAGGTGGAGCGCTGTTACTATTTCCTGGACGCTTATGTGAAGACGGCGAAGAATGAGCCTGTGGACAGCCGGCTGGTGCAGTTCCTGCTGGCCAATCCTTGCAGCGACGGCGGACAATGGGATATGCTGGTCAACCTAATTGGTAAGAAGGCGGCAAGTGGACAAGAAAAAACCAAATCAGGTTTGTTAGCACTGATTGATAAGGTTGTGCCAAGGTTTCCAGCCATCGCCTGAGATGGTGCTGGGATCAAACCCAGGCCTTTCCAGCCGGCAGTTGCGATTCTCCTTTCCTACGCCAAAGGGAAAGAGAAGTAAATAGCGTGGAGTGCCCTGCCCCACTCTTGGACAATATGTCCTTAATCTGAAATCAGTGCAGGTTGTTCTGGGGCAGAACGCTCGTTCCGTCCCCCGCTGATCGCCTTTGAACACTTGTTGCTTTGCAGAGAAACATGGCGTCGTGCCCAAGAAACTTTTCCCCGAGTCCTTCACCACCGAGGCTTCCAGGCGGATGAACGAGATCCTGAACTACAAGGTAATGGAGGCGGAGTGGAAGAGTGGGATAGCCACACTCCTGAACGCGATTCCAACAAGAGGGGGGTACATAATAATAATAATAATAATAATAATAATAATAATAATAATAAATAAATAAAAATGTAATGTTCGTTTGTGGGATTGACATAACTCAAAAACCACTGGATGAATTGACACCAGGTTTGGACATAAGACACCCCTCAGGCCAACGAGTGACCATCACTCATAAAAACACTGAAAAACACAGCAGAAGGGACTTTAAAAGCCAAAAAATTACATTACAACACACACACGCAAAACCACATATATATATACACACACACACATATATACACACATATATGTATACACACACAAAACACATACACAGAAAGGAGGGAG